ATCTACCTAAATATCTAAATCCTAATCTCTAAATCCTAATATAGGATCCTATATTATCTTACTCCTGATATTATTAATATATATTGCCAATAGCACAGATTTGAGAATTCAGTAACCTTATTGGAGGTGGCATGATCCTAGGACCTAGCTCAACCTGTAGATAGCCCTTTGCTCCCACTACAAGGCTCTGTGGCCAATAGTGCCAGGAAGCAGCATTGAATCATTGCAGCACGGCATGCTAACTAGTACATGCTCATTAGCCCCAGTACTATTTCTTGTGGCCAACAGCTTAGATTACATCCGGTGGCATGACGGAGGAAAACTCTCTGCAGTTTATGCACGTGCGAATTTATTATCTGTTATTATTTGCTAAAAATGTAAAGATAATCCTTTTTTACCCAACTATTTTACTCTAACATTGAAGCCCATCTCCTAGCTTTATGCTAAATGACAAGTAAATTAGAACAGTTCTGAAGAGTATGAGGGCACCAACCTGGTGAAGCATATTCTAATATGGGGAGAACCATAGTTTTAAAAGCCAGGGACCGAGTTTTAGAATCGGTTAATCTAAGGCTATGGCTAGCCCGTCCAGACTCAACGACCGTTTCATGTCGTAGGAGCCTGACACCGTTCCACACAATAAACCGCGTAGCTTGAAAACACACTCAAGGTTAAATTTCGTAATTAAAACAATCGTATTACCACATTTGACATAACGTGTTACATGATGCAAGTGTATTCTCACATATGGCACACTTCTTAACTGGTATTTGCCTCGGTATTCATGTTATTATCAGATAATTTGGAAAGGAGTTTCGTTTTTGAATGTTGGCAAACTCCACCCTTGCATTAGTATGCATGCGCGAGAACTAATACAAGACTGGCGAGAGTGCGGGAAAATCATGCAGAATTCACACAGTAATGGCCCCCTTGTTCAAAATTCTCCCTGACACGTAAATACATACTTGGAATTAGCACGCATATGTTTAATAATGGTGTACAGAGAAGCGGTAAGAGCCATTAGAAGTTAGGTATTGGTATGTTTTGTTACATCGCTTTGATAGCTAGAAGGTTTGGTCGCTAACGTCTGCTTATATGACGTTCTTGCAACGTAGTGAGAAGTGAGAGGGTAACCTGTGGCTAATGTTAATGAACTGCACATTAAGTTTTCATTTTTAACCCATGAAGTTTTCTGTTTGGAGATTTATTGAACAATAATAATAATATACCTAAATAATAATAAAAATTTATATAAAGAAGAATAATTAATATTGTTTTTATTCAAAAAAGTTCCTCACATTATATATAGCAAATTTTTCATTTTACTATTGCCAATAGTATTGTTTTTTTCTATCTAAGACTATTAGTATTATATGAAAGTATATTGGTTTTATTTTTTATAGTATTACTACTATTACTATTAGACTGTACTGTAGTGGAGTCTGTATAGGTACTACTACTACTACCAGGAGTAAGATAATATAGATCCTATATTATCTTACTCCTGCTACTACTAGTACTAGTAGGGTACTTCCAGTCGTGTTTTTAGTTTTGAAGGGAATGGCTTTACATGATAACAAAAACCGCTTGTTAAGGACCTTAACCCAGGTTAAGAACGAGACGATCTTACAAATAACAAGTGCCGCGGAGCGACAGCGCTCATCTAACGTCTACTGCGGTGACTCTGTGGTGGAGTGGTGGGATTCTAGTAAACCCTGTTAGCAGGGCTTGCCCTTAACTTTTTTTTCAGGTGGCCGGCCGGGCCACTTGAGTATGAGATTCAGGTGGCCAAATGGATTTTCAGGTGGCCCGGTTGCTACATTTATTAAATAATTTATTTGTATTCTAACTATGGGTAATGTGTAAAAAATACTTTTTTTATTA